AGAAGTTTTACTTTTGCAAGCTTAGGATTAACGAGGTCTCATCTTTCAACGTGCGAACAAGTGACATCCACCAACAAGGAAGCCCAGGTGAACATCGTTTTTTACATTTCGATTTAACGGAAACCCTACCGCCAACCAAAGGAATGCTTGCCGCTTGCCGATGCAAATTCAAGATGTCCGCAGCTACAAAATGGCGGAATACATATTTTTTCACAACCACCTCAATATGAGTATCAAACGACAGGGCTTGACTAGTACACTTTGAAAAAGATTCAAATTCTAGATGGCCGCAGTTAGAAAATGGCGGATTACATATTATCTTGTACTACTGAGACACTAAATGAACTAAACAGAATGAGAAGAATTGAGTTACAAAATTAGAAACTAAAACTTAAAAATAAAATAAGAAAAAAAATGTACCTATATCAAACAGTTTTAATAAAAAAATAAAAATAATAATAATGATGTAGATAATGTAGAAAAAACTAAAAAATAATTCGGAATATCCTAGATAGTAGTCATCACACCACTTTCCTCAGCAATATACGGTATTGATCGAATTAAAAAAGAATAAAATCTTTGGGCGTGGTATTTACATATTTACTCAGGTTACGCTACGTCCAACGATTTCATAACTTTTTTATCTAATCAATACCGTAGATTACTGAGGAGAGTGATGTAATGACTGCTACCTAGGACGTTCCGAATAATTTGTTATTTTTAGTACATTTACATTTATTAAAAGGTTCTATCTTTTAGTATTCGTCTTTTACATTTCTTTTGGAATAAACTTCCATTATGTCTTTTTAACCCACTCATTTCAGCATTTCTGTAATTTCTTTCTCTCACTTGATAATTTTTTTTCTTTCAGAATTTAAATCTTCTATTATTGACATGAATGTTTTCAAGATGAACCTCATATAAAACTTCATCGAATATCTTTGACAATTTGTACATTTACTTTCACAAGAATAAAATTTGGGTACTAAACGACATCATAATCTCTTCACTTTTTTACCGAGGGTGTATTTTTGTGGTTGTCCCTTTTTCTCAAATCGTTAAAAATATTTACCTTGAGCTCCTGGTGTTTCTGTGAAAGCGGTAAATGATAAAATAGTCAAAAATCACTCTAATTAACATAAAATTGAAAGGAAAACCAAAACTTCAATCGGATTAGAATTCTACCTGTTACACCTGCATGGCTATTTGAAAAAAATGAATGCCAGCCTATTCAGAACCCATTCTGCATTGTGTGGGTGAAGTGGTTGCTCGGGGATCAGCGGCACAGGTTTACAGGTAGAAAGCCATTTCTGACACAGATTTACCGATAGATTTCACAATTCGCAAATCAATGACACCTGTCAGTCTGTAAATAAGGTGCATCCTATACACAACAACACACGTTTGTATCCACAGCAAATATTAGGCGCCATATAGATAATTGGATGGATTTAATCGTGTGGCGTTTTCTGTATATTTTTTACATGACTCCTTTCTCCTTTGTATTTTACTGATTAAATACAATTTCAATCATTCGAATTAATATCTGATTTGATTCTGTAACGAATGTTTGGAGTACAAACTGAGTAGGAAAAAGTATTTTTTGTATAATTCAATGTTCGTATAATAGTTGTTTCGAAAGTATTTTTCTTTCGCGTAATGGATTGAATCATATTTAAAAAGCAGAACCCATATCTTTATAGACGGTTATTCATCTGAACCTTATCCAAAACCTTTTGGAGTACGACAAGGGTCCCGTCTAGTAGGGCCCTTATTTTTTATTATCTATATTAATAACAATAAACAATGTTTTGAGAATGCCAAGTTTTTCATGTGTGCTGATGATTTGAAATTTAATCTTCAAATAAAGTACATGTCAGATTGCTTGAGAATTCAGATTGACATAAATAATTTATTCGAATTTTGTAAACAAAACGAATTATATCTCCATTTTTTCAAGTATAGTTGCTTCACATTCACCCGTAACAAAAATATTCACACATTTTCATAAAAAATATCTTGTTTTCACGACTTAATTCATTTAAAGATTCAGGTGTTATTTTTGACTCCAAACAATTTAGCAGTTATTTGTATAGTTACGAAAATTGAACTTCGCCTTTTACTATTACTTTGTATTTGTAGTTAGAACTGAATATTGTTATTTTTTTTGTGTCGTTGTAGTAATAAAGACGTTTATTATTATTATTGTCGAAACATATAGATTATGTAATCAATAAGAGTAGTAGAGCTCTGGGATATGTCACGAGAAAATGTTAATTCTTCAATCAAACAAAATCAATAGCATCTCTCTATAATGTATTTGTTTTAAGTAATTTAATGTTTGCATCAACCATTTAGAGCCCACATTATAATAATATTGGAACCTCAGAGTAACAATAAGACATAGAGTTGCCATGCCTATACCAATACAATACATGTATTTTGAAACGGGTATCGCACTATCCTTTTCTGTACAACTCATTGACGGGGGGGGTGGCGGGTAATGAGAGGTTATGGAGAGTTTGTTTACATTTGAAGTAAGTTGGACCATAAAACAGTGGCGTTTGGTTTAGTTGATAATCGGAGGGAAATTATCTAATATATAAAAATGGATGTTTGTTGGTTGGTTGGTTGGTTGGTAAGTGATAAACTTCTACATCGCCCAAGCGATCGTGATGAAACTTGACATGTATGGGTAATTTTTCATAGAAAAGGTTTTTAGGCTATCAATTTTTCTGTAACTCTCCACTAGATGGCGCTGTAAAATATTTTTTTTAAAACACTGTTCTATAACACTGCGCACGTCTAAGTTCGTTGATTCTGATTCTGTCAAAATATTGGAACAGCAGCGATACAGCAACGAAGTACTTATTAATACTACAACTACCAAATTCTACACGGGCGAAGCCGCGGGCAACAACTAGTATATTTATAAAATAAATCATTTCAGGTGAAAACGTATTCTGTTCAAATAGTTCCAACAGGAAAAATCATTGTTATGAATTAGTTCATTTGAAATAAATTAATTTTAACCCACTACACCAGGCGCTTTATTATAAAGCCATACATAAATATGTGCACAGGACACATGATTCTTGGACCAAATGATCGCTTACGTCACAGTGTAGGTAGTGATCAGTCATTTATGAAACCGGTGCGCTCTCCGAATGTGTTAGACCTTCGGGTCAGGGCCCGACCAGCAAACCTTTTTCGGTGAATATTTATTTAATTTCAGCCACCGGAAGAAATTAAAATGGTATACGTCTGAAGAAAATACTTTTCCCACGCCAAAACAAAAAATCCTGTCAGTCATATTTTCTTCAAATTCATTTTACTCCACACGATCCAATTCAACCTATCAAATCAAAAAATGTGACAAAGGACTAAAATCAGATGTGGTGTCACGTGTTTTCCATTTTCAGAAAAGTCGTATACATTTAGGTACAAAGCGTCAAACCTAGACCTTTAATTAAAAAAAAAATTGAGTAATCAATAAAAAGTTGAACATTATTTTTGTACACTCTGTATCACTTAATTATCATGTACATGACTCAATTTATAATTTATCGCAAAACTTATCTCTTAACTTTGAGATCTCTCATTTCGCTTCTAATGAAGTCCTGACTCTTATTGAAATGTTCACCTGTGATTAGTCCACCTGTGATAAATTACTGGAGGCCCTAAACAAACTTTTTGGGCTGAACACATCTTCATTCAAATCTCAAACATTAAATGCATTGCTTTATTACAGTTCAAACGTGGCTAAGACGCTGTACCGATAATCAAATATATCTCGTGACGTCACACTAACTTTCAGGGATATCGATTTGAAATTTTCACCAATGTATTTAAGTATTCCGTAAAACAATTAGACCAAATGCAGTCTTGGATTTATTTGTTCACATAAAAGAACAATAAAAACACTATATTTTAAATCTATTATGTTAGGTGGCTCTCATACTGCTGCTGCCACCTTTCGTGAAATATTTGACTTGTTTAATGTGTGCTTAATTGTAAAATCCATTTTTCATTCAATTTTTTTTTACGTCTGTCATTGATCCAAGGAAATGAGCTTCCATATACTAATCCAATGTACCTACTCATTTTAGGATCCTGAATAAGATTCAATAATATAAAAATTAATAACTGATCAAGAAGATAAATGGATATTTAAGGTTCCGCACTACATCTCTAGATGACACTAACGACATAGCATAAACAACATATCTGCGAATGCCATCGTGACAATATTAGGTACTCTTCAGGATTTGAGCATATAATATTTGTATGTTATTATCTCAATTACTACATGTTTTCAAAGACCAGAAAATATCTTCAGTTACGCTGAAAACAAAATTACATTTTGTAGCGTCCTCTATCGCATAGTATTCGAACCTTTTACTTCATCCTGTTCAAACTCTGTCTTGTCTGAGATGCGGGTATATAGATCTAAGCATTGTATCAAGGCAATGTCTAGGCCTTATCTAGTCGTTGTGTTGTTTGAAGTTCTCTTCAAAGGGGTCACCTCTTCAAAAAACGATCCGGCTAATCAAGCTCCATCCACAATGTCGAAAGGATGGCTTCGTTTTGATTCTCATGCATTGAACCTTTTTTTATTGTTTTAAATCTTTTTGGTGTTTCTGTACTATTGGGTTTATTATCTACGGAGTTTTTGTATATAGTATCGGTTTTGGGTGATCGCAAATATAATTTCAATTCCAAAATATCATTTATCGATTCCGCTGAATTATTATTTATTTGTAGGTATACATTTCGGTAATGAATCTTACCTACCTTCATATCAAGATATGAATTGAGAAGAAGATAAAACTGCACTCTCAATTTTCATGTTGGGATTTTTTCATTCAAGAGCAACGCTTGTGACGCATTTTATCATGGAAGCAGAATAAAATTTAAATAGGCTATCCTTTCGTGTGTGTGTGTGCGCGATCATGTGAGGAATGAGCCAATCAAGTTAAGGTGTTAAATGTCACCTTTCACCTCACTGACATTTTTAGAGAAAACAGTTAAATGTTAAATGGACTTACACACATCACACAAAATAAGGATCTAGTCCATCGCTGTGTTCTACTTTCATAGTGCTTTATTCTTGATTCGTAAGGATATATTCAAAACTCACTGTATGGTGTTTTCGTGTGTATAAAGACAAAAAGTGCTAGAAAGTTATATTTGGTTGATCACCTGTTTTCTTCACATTCCATCACGATTTCGAATAATCGTACTTATTACTCATAATATTCCAAACAGGTAACAATGTGGATGCCCACCCATGTACAAGTTACTGGTATGTACTGCCGAATAATTTATAGACTCTTCTTACCAAAACATTCTCAAATATTTCAAAAATATTTTTAATATGAATGTTTGTTTTAGTTCAAAAAGCAGAGGGACTTCTCATCAAAGGTAAAAACAACACCAACGATTGTTTTGTTACGATTGCCTTGGGAAAAACAAAATATCAAACATCAGTCAAAGAGAAGTCTCCCCAACAAGTAGAATGGCATGAAGAATGTGAATTGTGAGTTATTATTCAAACATTAAATTTTTTGAAACAGGTTATTCAAATATCATTTGCTTGAAGTTCAAAGATTCATTACAACTCTCAATCTTGTATACTTATTCACCCCTGTGAAATGAATCAGTTATGTTTGTGCAAGTTCTCAGCCTTTCCTGACTTTCATGGTTATAGGTATGATGTTGTAACAAAATTTATTATCTTTCTTTTCAAGATAAACCCAATTATTATTGTCAATATTTACATTAGTGCATATAAAGTTCTGTCTTATCTTCTGCCAGTATATAAAACAGGAAGGATCAAATATAAATAAAGGATATTTTTAATTTGGCTGAAATCATAAACAGAAATTCAAAACCCTGCAGTGTCATTCATATCATTAATTGTTGTTTATTCAGGGGAAAATTGCTAATTTGAATACTATAATATTATGAACTATTGTCAATCTATAGTTTCAGGTATAGGGTGACATTATAATTATCATTAATTATGTGATGGGATCCGCCGATACTTGATGAAAATCCATAACTTATTCAAGAAACACGTACTTGTGCTTTTGTCAAACTGTTTGGTGAAAATCTTACAATAAAGTGTTTTTGAATAGATTATTAATAAATTCCATCTATTGGAAACACTTTTTCCTCATCAGAACAAAATGTTGTCTCTTGACACTAGTTTTGCTAACTTAGGAGATAGCTAAGATAGTGTTAGTCATCTCCTGATGATGCTAACTTTATAATAATAATAATAATAATGAAGGTCTTTATTTCCAATCATGATAAACTTGAATGAAGTACAAAAAATATTCAACATGGTGGGAAAAGGACGGTGGTCAGCTTAGCTCCCAGCAGCCCCTGTTATTATTCTCAAGCCTTAGTTAGCGTAATTGGCTTCTATACACAGCATTTTATTCTGATGAGGGAAAAGTGTTTTCAATACATTAATTTCACACCAGAGGTTCCAAATACTACTTATCACATTATTTCCATAATTATTGGAAGGGTGTTTTAAAAAAAGGTAAAATAAAAGTAACTATGAATGAAGATAATGGGCATGCATCCTGCTTAGTTTCTTTTTCAATAACATTCACCTGAATAGTTTTTTTTGACTTAATTGAATGCTTCATATGCATGAGTAACCTAATTGTATCCATTTGAAACTCTAAGGATCTTTGACCTTTCAATGGTGACAAGTGACTCTATTTATAAACTGAAAGTTGTTAAACCAGAATATTTATGAACATTGTTATCAATTTAAAATAGAGAATTTTTCACTCATTTCCATATTGCTTTGATAAAATTTTGCTACGACTAGTTTCCGGATCAATATAAATAGGTATATAAACACTGTGAACCAATTTTACTATATCATTACTTATTTTTTTCTCTTCCATTGAATTTGAGAATACTATTTAACCATTTTGCGAATTTGAATTAAGAACAATTGATTTCAAACATTCAATTTACATCGTTGTGAAAAACAATAATTGAATTAATTGATTAACATTATCATTATTATGGGTGGGATGGTAGCCTGGTGGATTGACGTGGGTGGTTTTCTTCACTCATTCAATCCACTGCTGGGTGAACCGGTGGTTTGAACTACAAGGCCGGACGATTGTTTTTCACTTCCTATCGTCCAACCCGTGTTGGGAATCACATGTTAAAAGGTACTACCTCGTTTATATAGAACCCTATACTATTGCTGAATACCTCCCGTAAAAGTAAGACCTTCTTATTTCTTAGCTTGCACAAGTTTTGACTTGTCAAAAAAAGCTCATTGTATGAATTCAACACTTTCTTTTATGAACTTAAATTAGTTTATATCATCTTTATTACATGAGTACTTAAAACCTACTTCTGAAGAACAAATTTTCGAAATAAAAATGGGTAAAATGACGTATTCAAAAAACACACTTCAATGTGAAATTTCCACTTGTGTGTATTGTAACGCATGAAGATGCTATTGTATAGCGAAACACGTGTCGCGGTTCTGTAAACTTTCAAGTGAAAATCTCTCATTAAAGAACTGTTTTGAATACGTTATAATGGATTTTCTTCAAGTATCGATCAGTTCTATCATATTTTTGGGTAAAATGCCATCCCATACAGCGGGGATGTTAGAATACCTCTGCTGGGTTAGGTGTCACCACTGGAGGTAAGAATCCTCATCTTAAGGTGTGTGTATCCGTACTGAAAGGATGTGTAATTCTGACAACTCTCATTGTCATTAACGGAACCTTTTAGAGATACCGGGATGCTTTTCATCATAGAAAGCCTAGGCACGGTAATGCGGGGCTACTCCTAACTACCCCACCCTCGCGGCTGGCGTCCCAAACGGGGCGTCAGCCGCTGGGAAAAAAGGCGCGTTCATAAAATAAAGTTACCTTTCCATCACTGTTTCTCCGTACTGCAATATTTTTGGAAGCTGAAATTTTGTATGTAGGTTTTATGGAAAGAACATTGATCATTTTGCAGATGATTTGTTATATACTATCAAAACTTCTGATACCAAAACTTTATTTTTTAGACCTATACCAGACCAAGGCAACACAGCAGAAATAGTTCTGACAGCTTTGCATCATAATTATCTTGGAATAGATGAATTTTTAGGACGTGTGGCAATACCACTAAACACTTTGGACATTTATGAAAGACCTAAAAACAAATGGTATACTTTGCAGAGCAAACAAGGTAGGCCCTTAAAACAAACACAGACAATCATCATTTGATGTAGATTAACTTGAATATATCTGAAATAAGGAATTACTTGTGTGCCATTTCCTTTAAAAGTTTTATTAATCTAGTAATACGGTTTCTTTCATTTGGTTTCATATTTATTCATTTTTTAAAGATTTCAAAGTTATTTGAAAAATAGACTTTCCTTTTTTGAATACTTTTGAAAACTACAAAAACATTACCTTTGTGTGTAAAAAAGTGATTATGGCCTGATTGAACAACCTGAATTAGTAAACGGGACTTCATTTAACTTACTCACCCTTATCATTCAGGAAAAGAGGGAAAAAAGAAAGAGAGAGGCCGCCTAGAGGTGAAAATAGGCTTTACAGTCAAGGCAGGTAGTTTAACGAATTTAAGTAAAAAAGAAAAACACAAATCTTCCCTCTCCCAAGTGGCACAGTCTGTGGGAGGAAGCCTTATGAGCCTTGGAAGTGCTGAAAAGAGAAAAGGCATTAAGAAGTTTGCCAAATCGATTGGATCCAAAATGAACTTGAAAGGTAAAAAGAAAGACGGCGGATCCGAGTACGAGGGGTCTTCCATTGGAAGCGTCGGCAGTTTGAATATCAGGAGCGGCAATTTAGAAAAGTTCAAAAGTAGGCAGACATTGGAAGATGCCGACCCAGGAGTTGTCAGCGACGATGACGAGTTCACAGTAAGTAAAATCCTGAAAAATTGATCATGATCAAGGCTTTCAAATTATTATTTAAAAAATACTTCTGGATAATACCGCGACGAATATTAGAATTCAGTTTTCAGTTAGAATGTGCAAACACTTTGAATTCATCCTAAATCTTTTTATTTCTGTTTCAATATTCATTTCAGTTCGACGATCTGTCTCACAAGAGTTCAGCAAGTTCTATAAGTCAGTCTGCAACTAACAGAACCGTTTCCCCAGTTATTAAGACATCGTCAGTGGAGAATATTCCACCCTCTGATATCCGCAAAGCAAGCTTAGGGGCCGTTATTCCTCCTGTCAAACCTCCCAGAACTGATCAGAAACTCCCACAGGATGAATGGGAATCAAAACTTGTTGGAAATAAGCCTAGAGGTTGGTCAATATATTTTTGATATCACTCTTCAGAAATATCTCTGCTACTCATACAAATGTTCCTATAACTCCAGTCACCTTGCAAACTGAACGATAAATATTACTTTGAACCTTGGGTCATTGTTTGTCAGTTTAATCTAATGAATCAATTAAGAGTGAAATTATTGTTTGTGCCTGCTATAGGGTATTTTTCCAAGGTTAGTAGGGATATTTGAATGGGAAGTTATTTTTCACATACGACGTGTATTGAGAAAATAATGGACATTTTTTAATATCAAGGATTTGGAGAGTATGATTGTAATTTTTTTCCATTATGTTGGTTAAGATGCCCCTGAAGTGTGAATAAAGTTTATCAAAGTGAGTTAAATGTTAACAAAGGCCTATGGTGAGTCTCCTATGAGTAAAACATGAATTTAAAAGTGGTATAAGTATTTCCATGATGACCGTGGAGTCATTGAAGATGATGAACGCCCAGGACATCCCAGCACATCAATAACTAATGAAGAAGGAAAAAGTGAAAGAAATAGTTGTGAACAATCGTCGAATCACAATCAGAGAAGTTGCTGATAATGTTGACATATTGATTGGCCAATGCCATGAAATTTTATCGATAGGTTTTGTGTATGAAAAGCTTGGCAGCAAATTTTTTTCCAAAATAGTTGAATTTTGAACTGAAACAGCGGTGAATTGAAGTTGCTCAGTTGTCACTAAATGAAGTCAATGATGATGCAGAATTACTGAAACGTATTAAAGCAGGTGACGAAACATGGGTTTACAGATATGACATCGAATCTAAGGCTCAATCTCTCCGGTGGTGCGAAAAAAAACTCGACAAGTGCGGTCAAACTTGGTTATGCTCGTTGTATTCTTTGATTATAATGGCACAGTGCATCATGAATTCTCTCCACTAGGTCAAATGTCAATAAGCAGTACTATCTACAAGTTCAGCGCCGTTTACGTGAAGCAATCCGAAAGAACAGCCTGGATTTGAAAAAATTATTCATGGCTCTTGCACCACGATAATGCACCTGCTCACATTGCTTGTTCGTGAATTTTTAGCCTAAAACAATACTGTAACAATGTTTGTTTGAAGGTGGTTGACAATGTTTCATGATGAATTTCACTAGTTTGGACTTCCATTGTCTAATATATAAAATTATTTGAAATCCCTGAAACAACTAAAAAAGAAGAAGAATTAAAAATAAATAGCTGTAAATAACAATTATATTAAGCAAAAAAAACCTAAAATCAAATAATAGTGAATTAAAATACAAGTAAAAATAAAGCAATCATTTTATTTTTTGTTCAATTATTTTATTTTTACTTGTATTTTATTTCAATATTATTTCATTTCAGGTTGTTTTTTTTTGCTTGATATAATTGTTATTTACAGGTATTTATTTTTAATTCTTCTTCTTTTTTAGTTGTTTCAGGGATTTCAAATCATTTTAAATATTAGACAATGGAAGTCCGAATTAGTGAAACTGTAACAATGTCTTAGCCTCCATATTCGCCAGAGGCATGGCTCCTATTTCCAAAAATAAAACATAGATGACATTGAAAACGCATTACCGAAGGCTATCCCAAAGAGATTTTAAACTTGTTGACTTTCAGAATGGTTGAATTCATGTCTTTTTTAATATTTCGCTGTCTTTATATTTTTTTTTATTCAACTGCATTCTTCAGATAGCTAATTTCAGATGTATGTAAATTAGAGATTTACTTCTATTACATCTTAAAATTATTATCATACGAAAATAATAATAATAACAAATAGTGACAGTAGCAAAACACTTCTCCAATGAAATGTTAAGACTTGATTGCTTTTCACCATCTATATTTTATTTTTCATCAACGAAGTTGGCATCATCAGGGAGTATAAATCGTCTCCTTATAACGCCAACTTCACTACCTTTCTACTCAGTACAATAATAGATTATTTTTGGAATAAACAATATTTGGATTTCCAACGAATATATTATCATTTATTCAATGAGGTGATTATTTGTTGCTAGTTGACTTATTTTCTCAGTATCAGGTTATGTATTATTCAGTCACAAATTAGTAAACTTATTTGAATTTTCAATATATGGTAATAAAATATTTTGATTATCTCAAAATTAACAAATGTATGTACTGCAGTCCTCGTGGTTCTGGTTACCTTTCAGTGGAAGAGCTTCATGAAGCAAGAGCCGAATCGATCCCTCTACGAAACCCTTCATCACTTGGATGGATCGATTGCAGCTTGAGAAATGATTCTGATAAAGATTCTGTGAAACATGTTCTTCCTTACGAATCAGTAGACAGTTGTCCTGAAAATCTTGAGAAGAAAATTGGATTACATAATTTAGGAAACACTTGCTACATGAATAGCATTTTACAAGTGTTGTTCATGATTAAAATTTCAAGAACGAGGTTTTAACGATGAACGAGATCGAGAATGTTTCCTACTTATTCACCAAACTCAAACAATTGTTCATGCAGTTGGTTGTAGTTTCGTAAGAGTGTATAATATTTCCTACCAACCGAGTTCCTGGAGTCTTTGAAGTCCACTAGATACTCGTTAGGACAACAAGAAGATTGCTCCGAATTCTTGGGGTTCTTGTTGAATACTCTTCGTGAGCAAAAAAATAGCAGAATCAATACTACTGACCGTTCTGGATTGAATGATTCCGTACAGTCTATCTCGGCTTGTGTTTGTAGATCTTTTGCTGGAAAAATCCTCTCTTATTTTCTTTGTAGTAAATGTTCAAGCGGTATGAAAAACGTATGTGACTTTCTGGAACTTCAACTAGCGATTCCTAATATGACTGATAACCAGTCCATGCAAAGCTTATTGTTAAATCATCTGAAAATGGAACTTTTGATGGATGACGATCAACTGTATTGCCAAACATGCGCCAAACTTGCTGACTATTATAAGAAAGCAAGTATAGCTGAGGCACCAATCAATCTAATAATAACACTGATGATCTTCAAACATGACTTAACCTGTGACGGAAGCACTAAACTCTTAGAAGGTTCGAAATAGATGAACACTTCAATCTAACAGACCACTCTTATAATCTTCATGCAGTCATTGTTGACTGTGGTTCTGGCGTTGAATCTGGTCATTTTTTTGCCTTGGTTAAAGACGAAACGGACTGGCTCAAGTTTGACGATAATCGTATCACTAAGTCTTCTTGCGATGTCTTGAATTTATTGGAGCCTATGGAGACACCCTACATTTTTTTTATGAAAGAGGACATTGGCAGATCAAGATCTTCAAATGATGTGGTGCTGCAGGTTTTTCCGAGTTTTCCTGCAGCTGAAAAGCAAATACGCCACTGGAATCAATGAAGTCGCCCCGCGGCGCCAATTAATTGTTGTTGTATCATAATTTCATGTGTATTACTTTCTTCCTTCGTTAATAAAGTTAATATATTCATTTACACACTTATTTCAGGATATTTCATCTGACTTTCTTCATTAGCAGCATGTCTTTCAAATTGTTTAATACTTAGAAAAGACTGTTTTGGCTTTCGACTTATCCATTAGGCGATAAGGAATAGACATTCCAAAGAAAGGAAAGAATAATTACCTCAAAACACCATATTATTGTGACATTTTTCACCAAAACTGCAAAGAAGTGTTTGAAAACAAATCTTCTTTCCAAACATTTTCATTATGTTCAAATTATTATAAGTTTGGCATTAATAAAGTAGTACATTTAATGAGTTGAATGCCAAAAAAGTTCTATCAAATAGTAATATCCCCAAATGAACAAAACGTTCATGTTTTTTCATTTTACTTCTATTTTTAGTGGGTTTGAAACCGGGAAGCAGTGAATCCCTGAATCGTAGATCCTGGGATTCATCCAAATTAGCTTATCAGATCGAAGAAGAGCCAAATGATCTTCTAGAAGTCCCTAATAACAGTAAATTTGAAACTATCAGTTTGAAGTCTAATAGATCACCCGAAACACCAAGGAAGGAGATGAAAGAAGGGATGTTCTCTAAGTTCAAGCACTTCAGAAAAGGTACATAACCCTTTTTGATCAAAGCTTTTATAGAAAAGACCCAGGGATTTGTATTTACTCGTACCAATTATTTAGCTCTAAAATATTAGTGATCAGAAGGAAAACGTACATGCAATGTAAAAATTGTTTCAAATCAAATTAATCTAATCATTCAATAACCCACCGTGAATCAGAATATTGAAATTATGTTATACACTCATCAAGTCACATTTACCATATTAGTATTAGTATTTTGGTGAGTATGCTCTAAACAAATTATGCATATACAAAAAAACTATCGGGGACTTCTGCTAAGGTTAAGCAAGAAACTCTTGTATACCACTCTTGAAAGACAAGGGAATTTTGTCAGTTTGTTGAATGGTTCATTTTTATGAACGCTATCTATAATTTGATGTTCACTTCTGAGTAAATAATTCTATACAAGTCTGTTGATGAGTGACAATAATTCACAAGGATGGTTTCTATGAGGAAAATTAGACAAATATCTGTTCCTGGGAACTTCATATTGAATTTATGTGATTAAAATTGTCATTAGGTGATACAATTTCATGATATTTCTTCAATTCGAGACTCAAAGGAAATATAAATCCAAATATTTATGTGATACATTATACACGAATGGCTCTAATATTGCAGCTTTGTTGATCGACCTTGTTTAAACGGAATTCTGTTTTCTCATGAGAAGTGAAATCTTCTCGATACCCAGGGAACGTAGTTGCATGTAGAATGCTTGTTTTTAGATAAGAACGAACTTAACTTGGAGCATGAGAGGCCGATTGGTAACTCAAATGAACGTATTATTATAGGAGGAGAAACTGAGTTGCGTGTACCTGTCCAAAATAATCGCATATCAAATGAATTGCTACAAAAGTTTGAAGGAAAAACCCGAGAGGTAAGTGACAATGATAAGAAATATAATTTAAGTTTTAGTACGTTCTGTGCTATTCCGTATCGAAAACATTCCAGGAAAAGAACTCTGCGCAAAAATACAAAAACCAAGGTTGTTAGTTTGACCTAAAACCATTCCAAAACCTTCAATCCTTTAAGTCTGAGTGTTATCTCCCATTTTTTTTTATGGAAATGGGGTTCGTCGGATACTTCATCCCTATCGCTTTTGAAAATCGATCCAACTATTTGGAAGATACGCAGCTTTGAAAAACAACGACGTTTTCAGAAAAATGTAAAACTTAAATTGATTTCGAATAAAAATCCATCGCATTTCGAAATGTTGCTTCGGAACAAAGTTTTCACCTTCCAGTGATCAATGCCAAAAGATTCAGATAAGCATAGTCTGTTTATTTATTTAATACTCATCAATACAGATTATTTTATGATTTTCACTGTAAAGGGTTTTTATAAAACCTTTTATATTCAATTATTTATTTAATATACAGAAATTAATTTTAAGGTTTGTGCAAAAACTAAATGAAGGTGATTTTGATTGTCACATGTACTTTTGTAAAATTATAAATTAACGAGCAATGGAAAATGATAATTTCTTGTTTCATTTTTATTTTTTGGACAAATGTCCTTTTTTTTGAACTGTGAAGTTAATCGGCACAAGTGTTATTAATGGGACCACAGCAATTCCAGAGTTATTCATGTGGTGTACACACACAAAACCATCAAAAGTTGAAACAAATGGGATGCTATTTTTGAAAATTTCCCTTCGGGTCCTTTTTTCTTCGTGGAAATTTAACAAGCGGTATGTACCTGGCTTTACTTCAAAATGCCATCAACCCAGCTTTCTGAAATTATCGAGTTTGATCCTGCATACATTGAAGAGGAAATGATGTAGGCGCTTCTTCACATTACTCACGAAAAGTGTGTAATCATTCAGATTTTAAACAGAGATTTTTAAATAACAGGGTTTGAGATCTCTGAATAGGACGAAGGGGAATAATTGAACTACTACTTTTCAAGAACTCTTTGGAGACAGATGTCTTTGTGGAATAAACTTCACACACGCCGTTAATTCATTATTTGAATGGATATATGAGCAAAGAGGGTCATCCTATATATATTATCGCAAGGCATTACTGCAAGGCAAAATCCGAGCTGGTAGGCTCTGACAGAATGGAACCTGAAGTACCAAACCTTTCGTCTGTTATTGTAGCAGATATCATAAGTGGTATGTGCGGTGACTGAACGAAGGTTATATCTCGAAGTCTCAGCAACGACTGTGTCAGTCTTTTTTATTAGGATGGAATATGGGATAAAAAAATATGAAACACTCCATGCAAAAGAGGGCTTTGTGGGGATTGTGGAAAGATTGTGCTGTAGACACGAGGTCTAACAATGCCACTCACAAGGATAATCCCAGGGAAGAACTCTCTTTGTTGCAAGTATCAGCACAAACTTACACAGATCTGGTTATCAAAACTGTCAAAAAAAAAGACAAAGTTGCTGCCACAAATATTCTTGCTGTTCCTTTTTTCTCTACTCTCCCTTTGGAAGAGCTGTATCAATTAGACGTATATAAAAACTAAAAATGATGAAGCTTCCATTTTGAATCGTCCGTTTCACAGTTATACTTTAGACTACTACAAGGAGGTCATGGATTTTTGAGTTTAAAATATCTACATAATACTAGATTACTAAATGAAACCTTCAAGTCATTTGGATTGCGCCCACGGCCATGAGATAGCAGGAATTTGGACATTTTTTTAAAGACAGGTGGTACAACTTCTGAGGTTACATATGGATCGACCGATCCAAAGGGTTTCCTTTAACACATTTCAATACATCTTCTTATCAAGGCTCTTACTTTTGTCAGGACTCTACAGTTGGCTGAAATTGGAAACTGAGTTATCCATTATGGCCTGCCAGTATACACTCCAGTATGATGAAAATGTGCACTTGAAAATTAGTTATCAATATTATTCCAAGCGACATAGAATCTGCTTTACAAGTTTCTTCCAATATTATTCTCATGAACTTCTATTATATGAACTCAAGAGGAAGGAACATTTTGCTAAAAGCAGGGTGGAAGGATCTTGTATCACTATCAGAAAAGATCTCGAATTGTCGGCATAAGGCCTGCTGTAGGAACGGAGTTGTCGCAAAAAAGTGTCTGGTCTTTGGAAGATAACATGGAGTGGAAAGAAGACCGAAAAATCACAATCCTTTTGTTGACAGTTTGATTTCTTTGACGAATGAAACCTCAACTTGATATAACTTGTAGAAACTATTATATTCTTATTTTTTTTATTTTTACCCTTTGTTTTCCCTTATTTCCAAATATTATGAAGACATTTATACATCTAGGTAGGTATGTATAAAATCATTTGTTACTAATTCCGGTGAATTTGTTATTTTATTCTCTATCTCGAATTCAAAAATTTTGAAAAATATAACTTCAATACATTCCAATACAGTTAATGAGGTTAATGTACAATTTATTTTTACCCTGAAAGTTTTTAATTTGTGTACTGAAGAACTAGTGTGTAACCCTCCCTTTTTCTCATTAATTTTTCACACGTTGATACATAGCTATTGAGTATTGTACGAGGGTGGTCACAAAAGTTTCCGACCTCAACATGAAGATAGCAGCACTCGCTAATTAAAGCTAGTGAATTTCGTTGTTCATCTCTTGACAGTTACTCACTAAAGTTTCAACCATTTTGGACCCGCAGTTGTTATGTAACAGTCGTTTGTGAGTTGATGCGAGTGTCATTAAATATTTGTTTTTGAAAGGCAATACCGTAAGAGCTTGGGAGACGATGAACGTTCGGGATGTCCAAAAATTGTAACTACCAACAAAAACATCGCCAAAATTCACCAAATGGTGCTAGACAACCGCCGAATTAAAGTGAGATAGCAGAGGTTATGAACATGTCAAAAGAACGTGTTTTTCACATATTAAATCAACATTTAGGCATGAGAAAGCTATCCTCCCGTTGGATGCCGCGTCTGTTAACGTTAGACCAAAAACGTGTTCGAATGAACATTTCCCACGCTCTTTTGGCGCAGTTTAGGCGCAATAAATCCGAGTTTTGGCGCTGATTAATTACTGTAGATAAAACTTGGATACACCGTACTACTCATCATTAATTGACAAGCTGAAGGCAGAACTTGTGGAAAAACGACCACATTTGCAGAAAAAAAAATCCTGTTTCACCAAGACAACGCATCGTTTCACACCTCAGTGGTTGCCATGGCGAAAATCTACGAATTGCGGTTTGAACTGCTTGACCATCCTCCTTACTCACCAAATCTAGCCCCAAGCGACTTATTTTTCTTTCCTCATCCAAAAATTGCGCTCGGAGGACAGAGATTTTCGTCAAATGAAGAGGCAGTCACCTTCGTGAATAGTTATTTTGCAGAGAAAGGTGACAAGTACTATTTGAACGGGTTGTAGAGATGGGAGGATCGCTGGGAGAAGTGTATAGAGTTAAAACGAGACTATTTTGAAAAATGAAAAAAATGTGAAAAAATGTCTTGTATCTTTGTTAGGTCGGAAACTTTTCAGACCACCCTCGTAGTATGATAGTGACACACGTAAATGTATGTTCCTTGTCTTCAGGGGTTCTTAAATTCCAACAGTTCATTTTGAATAATAATTAGAGATCCCTTTTTAAAAAAACTAGCTTAATAACTTTTTTTTTCAATGAGATACTTGTAAATTTTGTTCTATTACATTACATTACTACTCCTAGTCTAAGTTTGTTCTCGCCAGTTGGTGGTTAGATGTAAGAGTGGTCCTAGACTAAAACTCGCCTGTTGCTTTCGAAAGATCATTTTTTCATTATCCAATTCTGTAATTGCATAATATTTCATTGTTCATCACTGCGGCTAGTAAAGATCCCTAAGGCTCATTGAAGCTAAGTACTCTTCGATCATCAGAGCAAGATGAGTTTTCAGCTCTGGGTGAGACGAATACCTTGTGAGATGAGGGAAAAAATAGATGAAATATCGAGATTTTCTCTTCAAACTCCTGAAACTCTATCCAGATCACTCTGTTGAGCTGGTTGTTCTGATTATTGGAATCATTCATGGAATATTGCCCTCTCTCTTGAATATCAATATCATGCCGGTTTGCCGCATTAAAACAAAGATCTTGGCTCAGACAAATGAAGAAGGTTGTCATTGTCGGCTCGTTTTGTATTTTCAGAGCACAGTATCATAGGAAGAAATAATCTGCTTTTCAACGTGCAATTCCTAGCACGGGAAACTATCTATGTTAATAATATTCATTGAAGGGGCGATAGTCAGTTGGTTAGTGTGAGAAATGTTCGTTTTACTCATTGTGAACGATGGTTCGATCCTAATTCCATCAATGTTCATTGCGGATCGTCTAATCCGGGAATCTCACGGTGAAATGTAAGACCTTGTTAGTCATTGGCTCGCACAAGTTTAGACTTCAGATGGTTGTCATTCGTAAAGGGGCGACAGTTGTTTAGTGGTGAAAATATTTTAAACACATATGTAACCTCTAATGTCCCAAGAAAATTTATCCGATGGGATTATTGCCATTTGTATACAAGATTTGTACCAACTGAATTGTAATAGCGAATGATTTTGTATGAAACTTGTATGGTAAAACACACCATTTGATTTTATTGAAATTCCACAGTAAAAATGATAGTGGGTTTATGCAACAATACCTAAGCACTAACACTCATAACTAGTAACCAAGACTACACCTGAGAAAAGTGTTTGTGATTCCATATAAACAGAAAAGTTCAATATTCTTTCATGATCAAAGAGAATAAAATTCGGGCCAGTAGACTGTGCTCGAATGAAACCTCGAAATACTAAACGTTTCGTCTGCTATTGCGGCAGGCATCATCACTGGTATATGCAGTCGCTACTGAGTCGTTACTTTCGTTCTCGCAGTCAACACACATACCACTGATGATGTCTGCAGCAGTGGCAGACGAAACGTTTGATACTTCAGGTTCCATTCTACCACGGCCTACCAGCCCGGATTATGTTCTCATTAATCATGACTCCGGCCGTGAAAGCCTATATTCTTATATTTCTAGGCATAGTTCTTAGTCTCAGTCAAGTTTCCATAAACACTCTCCTTGATTTGTTGTGATCAAACTCTTAGTTATTGGTTTAATATTTGGAAATGTATATTACTGGAGTTTTTTCCCAACACCAAATCGTTATTTTTAACACCTCGACGACTGTTTTGATCTTCCTCTTTGAAGATGATCACTTGGTGATCGAAACACGTGTTTTGATCTTCCTCTTTGAAGATGATCACTTGGTGATCGAAACACGTGTCGAGGTGTTGAAAATAACGATTTGGTGTTGGGAAAAAACTCCAGTAATATTCATTACTACACCAAAGGTTCCAAACAGTGCATCATAAAAAAAAAAGGAAATGTGTTGCATAAACCCGCTATGAATCATTTTCCAGAAAGTTTTTAGTGTAAAATAATGAGACTCGTTTATTATATGAATAATTACTTTTTAGGATTTGATATTATCTTTGATGGAAACGCAACATGATTTGGAGAAACAAAAAAAGAAATTGAAAGATCTGGAGGACTATCTAGATGATTTATTGCTCAGAGTAATGGAAACGACTCCACGTATTTTACAGAATCCGTACATAACTTGCAAAATGGCACATAAAAAAATAAAGTGAGTCATTGAGGTTTTTGGACACCAGGTTTTTAACTTATTTATTTTTATTGTTTTAGGGGTTGATTGTTCGTGTGACTGACATCACTGAAGTATTGTGCCAGTAATTCACAAAGGATGCAAAAAGCTTTTGTTGAAATATCTTTTTGACTATTAAGGAAGTATATGAGAAACATCACATTGGACATGAATATAATTTATGCAGAGTTATATTCTTGAATGATAGTTGCAAGTGAGGTGAATGATCTCGTTTTCATTTTTTTATTCTACATTTCAATAACAAGGCAGAAAATGCTATCAAGTGATATTCATTTCAAATCGATTCTCTAAAATATCATTGGTGCTGTATCATCATTCTTCTCAAGGATGTTTTTTACATTGTGATATTGACTGCTTTAAAAACTAAATATTTCCTTTTTTCATTAGACTTGATAATATGTGTGTTGCAGTCATATGATTCATATCATTATCGATAATGATAGTTCTATTAGTGCTATAACTGAAGAAGTTGAATTAATTACGACTTTTGGGGAATTTTAAACAGTTTTTAAGTTTCTAGTCACCTAAAGTTTCAATTGCCACCTATTTCAAAAGGCTTTTTGATTTTCTGTGAATACATACTGGAAGAGAACCATATTTATATTTATTTGTTTTAGAGATATTTTGTCTAAAGTTGTTTGACTGTTATATTCTTTATTTATGTTCAAACCGACACGAAAATAATCAGAATGCTTTCATAAACTAACAAAGTGCCTCAAATTCAAATTCCAGTTAGCCGTTAGAAAATTAACGCTTTATGAAAGTTTCTAATTATTTTTAACGTTTTTATTGTTAGGATTTGAGTTCTTTCTATGATAATATTCTCATCACATAGTGTACCTAAGAGTTTCATTGATTTTCTCGGAATATAGAGGGAGTTGGTATATTATATTAATAGGAAACTGTAGAAGAAAATATTTTCTTTGAAGTGTACTTCTAATGGAAATAATTCAGTGCCTCTCTTATTCAGTGCTTTCCATTTGCCAAATTTGCAAGAGAATCAGGAAGTTGGCATGTGATATGTGTTTAGTTCATAAAATGTTTTTTCATGTTCTGAGACTGAATGTTGAAAATGTTACTGTATAGGGTTTAAAATAGTTTCTAAAATTGACAAAAGGTTGTATCATAAATTATAAACATAGAGTTAGATTCATCTTCAATACCTTGAAATTACACTAAACAGAAATTAACACATTCAGGGACAGCAGAACCCAAAAGAGTGGCAGGTAACACTTACTAGTACCAATTCCAGAATATTTTCTAATATATTATTAAAATACATATTTGATCAGTTTTTGACATTTTAATTGTGAAACATTTCTTTGAATTGATTTTAAGATAGTAACAGACAAGATATATTTTTATTTGTCCTATATGATTTTTTCAATTCAAGAACATAACATTCCATATTTTTCAATTTATGAAGTTCAAATTCCCAAATTTACATTTTCAATCACGTATTTACAAATGGTTTTTTTTCAAAAACGTTCCTTTCAAAATAGAAGGGCTTTAGTGTGGAAAATAATCAGATTTTTTATCTTGTTTTGTGAAAAGAGGATCAGAAGTTTGTGATTGTTGTTTTTTTGTTTTCAAAATTTCTTCTACAAATCTAATTGTGATAAGGTGAATGGAGAAAATATCTTGAGCATATGGTTGTGTCTTTAGATTGCAAATAACTCTCCATTACAATATTTGTTGTGTTTTTAAACAAGTTGTCCATTATTTGTATATATGTAATAATCCCGGTAATGAATTTTAACTTTTTGATACATGATTACCAGTATGATGACGATATTTATTATTTTCTACTGTTATGGTGTTAAGGATTATGTTAATTTTGAGAAGAAGAAATAAAATATTTTTGACAATTCTTATTCAGTTTCACTTAAAGTAATCCCTTTTTTGAAGATATTTCTTACCACCGTGTGTATATTATATTATATACCTTTGCCTCTCATGTGAGACCTCTTATTTTGTAGGTATCTCTGACATATATCCGACGGAAAAACAACTGATAATCTAGCTAATGCTGCGCAGAAAGCTGAAGTAAAACCTTCAGACACTTGAGCAACGTCTTCCGTTTGGAAGATTTGTCGCAAGTAACTTCCTGTATATGAAAAGCTGAAAGTAATTTCATTTGATCGGGATGACCACCGACGGACCGGTTTCAGAGTACTAGCTCCTCGTCAGTGCCAGGTGGGTCGTTTCAGACGGAGTGAATCGTCTGAATATCCCGAACAAACGAGGAAGTTACTTGTGACGAATCTTCCAAATGGAAGATGGTGCACAGGTGCCGGCATTAGCTTAGTTGGCCACACGTTTGGTATTTGTAGCAGAACTTGCGCATATCATATGTCGGAACTACCAATAGGTGAGAAATACGCGACGGACTGTGTCTGCTCATCGTTTTGAGGTTCAACTCAGTACACCTCGAACTTCACTGTTTGAGAGCTCTTTCATTTGGAGAACTGCGTTTATGTGGAATAAAAGAAGGTTTTTCCAAACGAATTTAATCCACAGCGATTCAAATCATATGTGAATCACTACTTTCGCACTGGCACCGCTCTTAGAGCACCTTAAGGATTTTCCTATAGTGTTTGTGTTCTATCCATTAAAAAATTGTCCTTGTGGAAAAACATGGTGTGCTCGTATCCAAACCACAAACGGACACTGGCCTTGGGACTCATTAATAGTCATTGCAAGTCCCAATTAAATTGGAAATTGCACACATTTTAAATAAATCAGCACATCTGTAGGTATAATACTGATTCGTGGTATTAATATCACCTCCGGACTTTCCATTTAAAATGCTGGCAAATCCAATGAGAGTTTGGATAATTTACTGCTTCGGTTGCATCGCAAACTGTATCTAGCTCGATGGATAAACAATAGTGGCCAACAATTGTGTGGGGAGTGAGAGAAGGCTTATTGTGTGAGAGAGACACGAGTCCCATGTTTTTTGTACGAGAACAATATCAACTCACCCATAACCTTCGTATGGACTGTCAAGCCTCCGTTGCTATCTTTAGGTTTGTTCATACTAATCTTGTTTTTTCTTTCCTTCAGAATCTTAAAGGTGATCATGCTCAGCAGTCGACTTTGAACATATTCTTCTATACCCTTCAGGTTTTGCCTGACAACAAAATCATGATCGAAGTTGGAGTATTATTTTAAGATGTAGACCACGTTTATTTCTTGCGCTGTAAAACCTTTGCCTGTGGAGCTTGGTCTAGATAACGAAGTTGTTATTCAAGATGTGGTTAACAAATACTGATTGCACAATCAAGAAGTGACTTCATCATAGCACCTTTTTGCCCTGGATGGTTTTTTGAGTACTTATTGAGATTCTGATTAGTATGGTGCAGAAACCTTTCTTATGCTTGTTACTGTGGCTCTAAATAACAGAAGTGTCATCAACGTAGCGAAGCCAACAGGTAGGTTTCTATTGAGCGGTGCTGAGTTCTTTCTTTCCTAGGCAACTCCATAAATTTGTTCATAAAAATAGTTATTCAATTGGGAATATGTAGTGCTGAGAACGTAATCGAGAAGGGCTGTGATGACCCTTGAGAAAATTTGTTTGATCTGCTCCAACGTTTTCTTGACTGGTACCATGATAAAGAGAGAGACGACATCGAAGCTACCAGAAAATTACTTGGCTTCAGATCCAAGGTCTTATTTTCTCTATAAAGTGGTTTGAGTCCTTGATTTTTCTATGTATGACCCCATAGCCTTGTTGAGTATATCGAAAGAGGATTGGTAGGCAAACTAATGGCATTGACAATTGGATGAAGTGGAATGTTTGGCTTGTGAATCTTGGGAAGGCCGTACGTGGCTTCAGACTTCCGTAGTTGGTGCTTGTTTGTTAGTTTTCTCCAGTATCTTGGACGTGGGGTATCACTCTTGAACATCTTTGTAATGACCAATAGAAAGTTTTATTGGCATTTGAGCAAAAATAGCGAGACATGCAAGTAGCACATTCCACCAAATTGGTCGAATTGGATTCCAATGTCTTAGTGGTATAAATCACGTTAGTGCTTGTGCATCTTCATAAAATTGCAAAAACATGATATTTTTCGAAATTCAAATGAAAACTACCTTGCATTTGACGTCAATTTGAAGGATAAAACTCGTGTCGAAGAAAGTGTGTAGTTCTGTTGTGGAAGAAGTGTCATTGTTCGATAACATTTTAGATAGATTGGGGGTACTGGCTGGCCATTCTGTGTTCTTAATTTTATGTTTATTGCACTATCTATGCACGGAATGCATTTCTAATATAATGCAGAGCGTTTTTTAGCTGATTTCACTATTGCAATTTCGGAAATGCCAATACTTACAAGATTGGTTGAATAAAACAAAAGTTTCGTATTTGGGGGGAATTTTTTTTTTGAAATAACGTAAACTACCGGAATACCGACCACCTTAGGCTGTAAAATTGCAACTGCAGCAGCAGTTGACTAGAGCCTAGATGATGACAGCACGACCAGCTGTCGAAAGCGCTCGCTTCTCCTGGGAACAACCCCGTATCTTCCGTAATAATCGAGGTAAAATGATGAAACTCTCAGGAATGAAGGAAATGCTCAAAATGCACCTACCACCTGAATGTGGTTGGCCAAAGAGATATACACTGCTCGCTACTCGTGATGGAATAACCCATTTTTATGGTAAAACATACTAGGGGGCAAAATAGGCTCAAAATTTCTTCAAATTCGTGATCAGAACCATCAACTTACTACAAATACACTTTTTCCCTGAAGAAAAATCAGTCCTGAAAATCTGAATTCGTCTCACTTCTCATGGAAACACCCCCGTATCTTCCGTAATAATCAAGGTAAAATGATGAAACTCTCAGGATTGATGAAAATGCTCAAAATGGTCCTACCACCTAAATGGGGTTGGCGAAAGTGTTATACACTGCTCGCCACCCGCGATGGAACAACCCATTTTTATGGTAAAATATACTAGGGGCCAAAGAGGCCCAAAATTCCTTCAGATTCGTGATCAAAACCACCAACTAACTGGAATTACACTTTTTTCCTGAAAAAAAATCAGTCCTGAAAAATCCGAATTTGTCTCACGTCTCATGGAAACACCCCCGTGTCTTCCGTAATAATGAAACTCTCAGGACTGATGGTAATGCTCAAAATGCACCTACCACCTAAATGGGGTTGGCCAAAGTGATATACACTGTCAGCCACTCTCGATGGAATAACCCATTTTTACGATAAAACATATTAGGGGGTAATATAGTTCGCTTCCAATACCTCTATTCTATCTGGAGAGTACTCTCAGGTATCGACGATGCAGACATTTTCACGGATTCGTTTGGCTGTGAGATGCTATCATCCATTTTGAGCCTCTATGAGGAAAATGCCACAGCACCACTTTCTCAGATTATCGAGATAGTGTAGGGCAGGCAATGTATCAAAAATTATCGATGACTTAAAACTAATTCTGGATGCCGAACAGCCATATTTTATCTCAACCAGAAGTGAGAGCTCTCCGATTGATGAACAACTACCGCAAAAAATGGAAAACATCTTTTTTCAAAGGTTCACATCTCGAAAACTGTACATTTTTGAGCTTTGGCTGTGGACAGTTTCAATTAGCTCATCAAGAACTACAACATATCAAAATTTCGGCATAATTCACGGTAAGCCATTTCTCATGGGAAATATGCGGGGTTCTTTATTAAAATATTGAGGAAACAACAAACCGAAACAAAATTAATCATTATACATTGAAACAACCGTTAATTTAAAAAAATGCACTCGGTAAACAGGTAGAATTCAGATTATTTTACCTACTTGCTGAATTATTGTCTGAAATCATTTGAAGGAACTGAATTACATCAATTTAACTAAATAAAAATCATGTGGTGCCCTGAGATTACAATGGAAAAGAGTTGCTCATTGATATTTACTGTCAACTTGACAATATTGTTGAAAGATCTTGTTGTAGTAACCCCCAGACCAGTTTTCATTGCATTTATTGTTTCTAGTATGGTTTTGTATATTCCCAGAAAATGGGATTTTGGGCTGAACAAAATCCAAATTGGGTGGTGAATTATAGAAACCAAATATCTCAAAAAATTACCTTTAGATATGAGACACAACATGATTTTTCAGTTAGATGGTTCACCAATTCACAATAGTGGCATAACAAGAGTTTGGTTGAATAGGAACCTACCTATGAAATGGATAGGACCCAATATCCCTTTCGTAGAATGCCCACCACGATCCCCAGATCTAATTCCAATGGATTTTTATTTATGGAGAACATTA